GACCCCGGATAAGCGGAGGACAATGGATGGATGGATGGATGATTTTAAGTTTGTTTATTTACATTTGATGTCAAAAGAAGATCCCTGCTATGGGCAGTAGGTAGAGTTTTAGGTGAAGTTCCTAGTATCCCCGTGAAAGATCCAGTGAAGCCTGTTTTCTGCCCAGGCTACATGGTTACAGGTAGGGGTGGAGCTCAGAAGTTACAGCATGCCACACCTGGCTGGGAAGATTAATGTTGTATCTGCAGTGTTCCTCAAGAAACCCCTAAATGTATCAGAAAGTTTACTGTCTGAATGGTTAGGAACAGTCGTCATCCAGCTAGAAGGGGATAAATAAAAGTCAAAGACAAACTAAACCCTACATGAGCACCCAATCCTGCCCCCACTTGGACAGACTGGGGAGGCACTGTGAGAATCAGGTTTGCTGACTTTCCATCTAAAAATGTTATTCCCCCCTTTTTTTGTTCACCCATGACTTTAAGTTCCACTCTGAGGACATTTTAATACCACTAATTGAAAACTTAATCACCCATTAGGACTAGTGGTCACCCATCCCTGACTGCAGGGGCTGTGTTGGCACTTTTTTGCATTTTGAAAAAGACCCTTTCAAAACATTTCCAATCTTTAATAATCTGTAAATCAGCATTTTTTCCTGTTATGAGACTATTACACTTCTGTTCAGAAATTGATGTAAAACCGCACACAATGACTAGTCCCCACTCACAAGCTTACAGGAAACCAGTTTAATGTATGTAATATTACAAAATTAAAAAAAAAAGATGAAACAAAACAGACTGGTAAATATGTGCAACAGAAAATCTACAGAAAAAAAGCTTTCAGGAGCCATTTTCATGTGGCTCTTCATCCATGTCTTCATCCTCCTGCCCCTGATCCTGGTCATTTGTCTCTTCTTCATAACCTTCCTCCATATGTCCCTCCTCCTCTGCAGTGGTGCCCTCTTCCTCCTCTTCCTCCTCCATGTCTGTTTGGTCTGGATACACAAAAGAGCATCTATCAATACACCCGATGGCAAAACACATTGATTCTCCAGAAGGGAAAAATCAATGTGTTGGGGCTTGTTTGAGGACAGATTCCAGCCCGTGTTCACAGTGGGAGTCTTTGCGTGTGTGAGAATGCAAATTTTTTTTTTTTTTTAAACGAATGGCTCTGAATGGCTCACCTTGTCTGAGATCTCGGCCGGGTATCTGGCCGGCCTGCAGCATGCCTTTCAACCTCTCCACCTCGGCCAGTGACGACGCATTACTGATGGCGTTCTGAAATCAAAAATGAGGCGTGGGATAAGAAACCTCAGGAAACTCATC